ATTGCTCAACCAGCACTCTCGTCCAGATAGCGTATGAGAGTTTTACCTTCAAGAATGATTCTGTGAGCAAAGGACAGTAGATACAAAGTCGTATCGAAAGTATGAACTAACCAATATCTGATAAGTGAAGACTTCGCATAAGAAGGCTCCCATATTGCTGTTGCTGCTGGTCATGAGCTTGACGATTGTGCGCACGCTGCTGTTGATGAGACTGATTGGTGGAACGAGTCAATCTAGAGCCCTGTTTCCTTTGAGCTGGCATTTCTGAGAAATGTAAGAATGTCGATAAAGAGTGTAGTGTTGCCTAGCGAGCGTGTAGAACAAGGGGGAACTAGACGAGTGGGCGATGGGAGTGGACGAGAGTGCTGGTTGAGCAATGTAGCATGAGAGAGACGTCATTACTACTAACTGGTATGAAAATGCGTAATAAAAGAACGAACGGACCTCAATGTTGCCGTATATGGTATGTGGGCAGACGGGCCCAGGGATATGGGTAAGACTTTGCGCAAGTCGGGAGGTTTTCAATTTGTCCTCTTCCTATTCTACACCTCAGCTTCCGATATATCTATAGTGGTATTGACGATGAATTGGCTGTTATATCATATTCGTTGTCATGTAGCATACTTGTGCAAGGGTTTAGGGTACTTGAATCAGCCTTGTCGGCATACTGTAGAGTTGAACTCTCCATTTTACACTTTGAGAATCTCAGTCGAGTCAATACGTCACATATAAGAGGCTAAAACTCACCTTTACGTCACAGCCTGCATCCCAGGATTGGTCCCTCCCCACCCTAGACATCTTTCCGCTACTTCTTCGTTCAAGAATGTCCAGAAGGTCTACACGCTCGACCTCTAAAAGGAAATCATCCCCCGAATCCTTGCTTGTGCCCGCCGAGAGGACTGCAACCCACAAGCGTCGGAAGACGGAGTAAGCTGGCTTCATCTAAGAGCGCTGAAATAATTGATAACCTTCATAATTTGAAAGATCCCCTTCGAAGATCAAAGATGAGGAATTGGCTCTCCCAGACGTTGGCAATGTCGATCCAGGCGACGACGCTGTTGTCGTGACACCTTCTCCTTCTCCAGTGAAAGGGCGAGGAAAGGGAAAACGTAGGACAGTAACCAAGGGGAAACATAGAAAATTAGGTATGTAAGTATACGACGAGGAAGGATGGCTAACGAACCTGTCTGAGTGATAGCCGCGCAGCCACCACCTAGTCCCGACCCACTGCCGACCACAACTATCAATGAAGACAAAGAAGCCGCTATGCAGGATGACAAGGAGGACGACGAAAATCCTTTCATCGTCAAGCCATCTGGATCCGCAAAGCGTAACAAAAAAGGTAAACAAGCTGAGACTGCTCCACTCGTGAGCAACCCCGACGGGATACACGAGGCAGACCTTTCACCAATGTGGTAAGTAGTACTATTCCTCGTCTGCTTATCGCATCGCTTAACAACTGCAAGGGATAAAGTGAAGACTCATGAGGCGCTGGGGCAGGCACTTCAGAGTGCAATGGACGCCAGTCGTCTGTTTGATGACCTTCCACCGTAAGTAGCCGGTCATTAATGTCTTACGTGACTGACAAGCTTGTAGCCTCACCTATGGATGTGCGGAAGGAAAGGTACCATTAACCACCTGGTCCTTTGAGACGGTCAGGGAGGATTTAACCCCCTTAGCTGTCTGCAAGTCAGTAACGCCTAGATGGCTTCCTACGTGTGTTGCTGACTTAACCTTGCAGATCGATGTGCAATTTTATCCGCTCGCCAACCTGGAAACTGCCCTTCGGGGTCGTCCAGAACTTCTTGCTAGCGAGAAAAGATGTATTGGTGATAAGTAATCGTTATTTCAAGTTCAAGGACAGCCACGAGTATGCGGTATTTGGGATATTGGGTGAAGTCGTGTACTGCGGAAGTGATGAAAATCCGAACAGTCCTTTCCCAAAGAAGGGAGGAGCGAAGAATATCGTAGCGATCACGGTCAATAGGCTGTTTCTGGATAGGTTGATGAGGCTATGCGGCTTTATCACTGGGCAAACGACTTTGGCCATCCCCGCGCGTTCTACAGTGACTCACAAAACTGTTCCAATGTTCACCACTTTTCACTTTTTCATAGAATACATGGCTTATATGATTAGAT